AGGGATAGCTCTGCCTATGAGATTACCATGCTGTCTGTCTCTCCGTATATTTCCCCTTAGTAAGTTTTGAATGCCTGAACCAATCTTTATGAAACTTGGCATGTATTTCGTGCTACGTGAGCCCATCTCAACGGCAAACTTCATAAATCACTCCCATTCAGTCTGTGTGTCTTTATGTGTATCCCCCTTTGGTTACTAGGCAACGGCTCGGTAAAAACGTTACCGCTGCAACGAAACATATGCAACAATAGAAAAATTCTAAGACTCGTATATTTCTGTGCTGCCTGTATCGTATCAATGGAAAGAAGGCGATTAGTTCTTCCCAGAACTTCTTGTTAACATTTACACGGTCGATGGCCGAGAAGATTTTACAGCACATTTATTCGCCGTGAAAGAGCTTCAAATCTTAAATCAACCGATTAATGCCATTTATCCAAATAACCACTGTTTGTTCTGAGAACAGTACGAAACGCATAAACACGCAGCGTGGGCAAAATGCAGAGTTAAAAGCAGGTGGTACATATGGGCACCACTAGGAGTTAAAAGGTTGAATAAACTAAGAATAAAAGGAAACAAAACAAGTTTCTGATTCCGGCTCTGTTTTGCTTATCAATACGTGGGCCATTGCTTCTTGGAAGCAGAAACAAAACATTCTACAAAAAGCAATGAATAAATTACAGCCCTGCTTATACACAGAGCGAGGATGGAACATCGCAGAGTTTTGGTTAGGGGTGGGGGCCTTTGTGTATTTTCTCATGTCGCTATGTGTAACGCTCTGTCGCCATCATTTAACAGAAAGGAACACCGTTCCGACTCCTTAAAATATGAAATAATAAATAAGTCGAAATTTATTATGCTGGGAAGAGAAAAGAAAAAGAACATTCCTCTCGTACAAATTACAGAAGTGATTACAGAAGTGAAATGCCGTTTTAAAGAAAGAACAAATGGTGTTCTTCAGTGATCGTTACGCGCAAAGTAAGAAGATTGCTGTAGTCTGGAACGTGACGCCGTGCAGACTCGTATGTTTTCGTGGGTAGTTTTACAACGCTGTTACCGTGTAGTCTATGCGACATCGTGCAGCAAGGTAAACTTATCCCTGCGCTTAATTAGTTAAGCACTACGCCATGAAGACACGCGGGGGAATGAAGGTGTAGCTCCATCGTTCTTAACCTCGGCACTGGATCAAGGTGAGGGGTCAGCTTCGCGTTCCTGCCGCTTTACCCATACGGGAAAACATGGTGAATTGGAAAGGAAGCAGTCATGTGGAATAACTGAGATACTGCCCCCACATTTGCCTGGAGGGACTGAGTAAAACCATGAAAGGTATTAGGATAGCCGGTAAAGTAAAAAAGTAAAGGTATCTGTGTAAGAGGCCGTGGAGGCCCATAGGGTTATGAGATATTGAGGTTCTCACATTTTATAGACAATCGGCTCATAGATGACGGTAAGGTTGTCAGCCCTACGCGCCGGCAGCCCTTTACCCCAAAGAATATTCCAAGAATAATCCTGGTACTCATTTCTGTTAAGAGGCTTAGTCGACCCCAGGGCCATAATGCGGCTGGAAGGATTAGGTCAATTGGAAAAAATCCAGTGACCTCATCGGGACTTGAACCCATGACCTTCTGGCTTGTAGCATAGTGCCTCAACCAACTACGCTACCGCGTGCCCCAGGATAGCCGGTACCCAAGTTTAAATTGGAACCGGGTACAACATGAATACAAATTTATATTGTTACTGTTTTTAACATGTTAGGTTACGCCGTGTAGTCGGGTTGAAGTTTTACAGAGAAATGTACTACATCCATCTTTCATGGCGTCTTCTAGCCTTAAGATGAAGACAGAATTTCCCCCCCCCGCCCAAAATATGTGTAAACCTCTACCATACTACACGGCGACACACCCCAAAAGCTGCCGCGAGAACGTCATATTTCGCACACTCAAGAGTGGTCTGAGACCAAATTTGTGGCCTTCGCGAAGTTGAACGTTGTCGCCGTGCCGAGGGAAGGCCGCAGTTTTAACGCACCCAAAAGCTCTTGTTTGTATATGGTTTATTTAATGAGACTTTCAGTATTTCAGAGTATCATTGGGTTGAATGATGGAATAATTTCTTCTTTTTCGGTAGTACTTTCGGCCGGGGGATCAGCCAGTCGCAATGCCACTACCTAACACAAATACAGAATAAACGCAGACAGACATTCAAGCCTTGAGTGGGATTCGAACTCACGATCCCAATGTTCGAGCGAGTGAAGACATTTCATGCCTCAGACCAATGGAATGACTAATGAATAATAATGAATTGGAGGGGATGTGGAAGGAAGCATTTGTGATCTGTTTTGAGGTACAGTCCTGGAATTTTCCTGGTAGAACTTGCGGAGGCTACGAAAACTCTTTGTTGGGGTTAGGGGTCTCTGGGGGCCGATATTTGAAAGCGGCTTCTGCAGAATGCGGTTCTGCCAAATCGACCGTGAAATTCGACATGTAAATAGGAGAGAATGTGAAGTTGTAGTGGGTTAACAATGGTGGAGCTCTACCTCCACTCCGCCGTTGCGGCTTCGTGGCGTAATACGTAATTAGTTAAGCAGAGGGATAACTTATTGGCCTCTGTGTATCTCTCTCTGAGCACGGAAAGACTTGACTTTAATTTTTTTAAATTCAGAAAAAGTAATCAAAGCATGTACGTATAGCCGGGATAGCGCAGTCGGTATAGCGACTGGCTACGGGTTGGACTACCAAGAGGTCTGTGTCCATATCTTCCATCGAGACCGACTCTGGGGGTCTATCCAGCCTTCTGTCTAATGGGTACAGGGAGCCCTTTCCCCCGGGGTAAAGCGGCCGGGACGTGAAGGTGACCAGTCACCTCCAACTAGTGCTGATGTCAAGAAAGCGTGGATATTTACATCCACTCCCCCATACACCTTCATAGCGTAGTGCTTAATTAGTTAGGCTCAGGGACAACTTTATCTTTTTTTTCCTTGGCACTACAGCCCCAGTGGGCCTAGGCCTACCTCCATGAACTTCTCCGTTCACTTGGGTTTTTCTAGATCTTAGACATACGGTAGGACTCCTTGGGCGGGTGATCAGCTCGTCGCAAGGCCTCTACCTGTACACAAACACAGAAAAACCCACACAAACATCCATGCCCTGAATGGGATTCGAACCCATGATCCCGGCTTCCGAGCGAGCGAAGACAGTACACGCCTTAGACCGCTCGGCTACTGTGACCGGCCAACTTTACCTTTACCTAATGTAAATTGTGATTGCAGGTGGACCCCTTTCGAGAATGTCAGTGCAATTTAAAACGCACGGGATGGCCGCCATGTTCTGTTGGTCGTTTCTTTACGTGGCGGGTTACAACAAAGGTAAAATACATATCTTATAAATTAATGTAAGCACAAGCATTGTGTAATATAAAATTTGTAGTCTTGCCATATACTACTGGAATTACGAAATTAAATATGAGATGTGCAAAGCATATAGCATGAATGGGAGAGCCTTGCATACGTTTGTAGGAAACCCCGTCGGAAAGAGAACTAGGAAGACCTAGGCATAGATGGGAGAATAATATTAAAGTGCGTCTTAAATGTGATGGAAGATTGGGGACTAGATTAATCTGGCTCAGGATCTTGTCGATATAGTAATGAATGATCAGGTTGCCTAAAATATTGGGTATTTAATGAATAGCTGAGCAGCTAACAGCTTCTGAAGAAGGACTCGGCTCCATGACTTCGTATGTAACATAATACACGCAGTATGTCCTGTAAACAAGCAGATGTGGGCACCACGAATTGCAACACGGTTGAAGCAGTTCCATTGGTTTTACCCTCCGTTGCGGTTGAGCGGTGAATACCCCTGTTTCGTATTCAGGAAACCTTGGGTTCAGCTCTTAGCCCGGAGACCATTATCGTGGATTTCGTTAACTGCTGGAAGTAAATGCCGGAACGGAAGGACACCTCAAACTAGGCCAAAACCGCTTCCATTCACATCTCTTCCGGTTCATTACTCACCAGCCATCTTGCCATTCGGCGTTCATGGGCGTCGGCGGAGGAGAAAGCCAGGTATCTGCCCCTCACCACTCTGGATTAAAAATGGAAATAAAAATTGGTAGAAGAATGTAGTACCAATTATTAATACCATAAATTAAAAATTTCTTT